ACACACACTTTGGATTTCCGCATTATGAGATGTTCTAGGATTGTACTCTCACATTATTATTATTTTCTTGTTTTGGGTTTTTAGACATGTAATATGTTTTATGAAATGATATGATCGGATGATGTTTTGCTATAAATATTTTACAAACCACTTATTTTAAATGAAATTTTTTGGTCATGAAAATTGGGTTGTTACAAAAACGCTTTCACTAAGTAGATTTTAGCTAGATAGCAATTGTGATATTTGCATTCTCAAAGTCGTTAGTGGAGCGTGTGTGGTTTACCGGCACACTAACATGGACTTGTGAGAAGTGGCAAAGGTCTAAACAATTAAGGATATGATTACGGCATCCCTTTTCATAGTTCTAAAATTGTTTAGACACACATGTGAGCTATCTAAAAGAGGAGTATGATTTTGATAAAGTTTTATCAAAACAATCTAGTATCAGAAATCTGAACTTTGGTAAGAAAGTCAGCTGATTTTTTAGTACATATCAAAGCTAGTGGGAGCATAAGTGTTATGTTAATAATCATCATGTTAGTGGGAGCATGACAATTATGATAAAGGTTGAAAGTTAGCAATGTTAATTATAGAAAACAAAAGTTTCAATTCGTGAGGCTGCAGGGGTTGAAAAAGTTGTTTTGATATAATTAAGGGAGAGGAAATTATACTTCATTTCAATTCTAAAAGCTTAGATTGAGATTTTAATCGTATTTAGTCAAGGATATATATATATATATATATATATATATATATATATATATATATATATATATATGAATTTCATGTTGGAATGGCTCAACATAAGGAAATTCTATATATGGGTCCATTATTTGCGTTCTAAAATTCGATTATGATTACGACATCCTTTTTCATAATCTGAATTTTGAGAACTTGGCAAATTGAAATGGAAATATTATAGCAAAAGACTAGTTTAGTCTTTATGTGAGACCTCATGAATCGTGTCCCATATGCTTCAGATATAGGATCGATTACATGTGCTATATTCATCCTTTCTAAAATTTTCCAAATGCCTGGGGCATTAAGAAGGGAAAAGGTCTAGAATTGGATATGACTAAAATGCTTAAGCAGTTATCGAGGACAATCTAAGGTTTACCAAAGATTGGTTGCTCAAGGATAGTTGGAAGTATAATGTTAATTCTTGAAGGACCATATTTACATAATCTGTAATGAGGCAACTCTTGTTCAGAAGTGATAGTCAAAATGGAATATGGAAATGTTTCAAAGTTAGAAATTATTCAATTTGTGTAAGATTAGGAAACTTAATGCAAGAAGGATGTTTCCAAGGAGCTGATCTCCTTTGGAATGCTCTGTAATGATTGTTGTCAAGTCTTTCTGACTTTGTGCATAATCATTACAAGATGATCAATGCATATAAGTTTAGAATCTAACAGATTTCAGTAAATGACATAAATTTGGAATTCTTGCATTTGCAGTAAGAATTTGGGACTGTGAAAAGAGGATCATTGGAGTGATGTTCAATTGATCTATTTCACAAAGTAAAGATCATAGACAAACATAGTATGCATACTTGGTGTATGGCATGTCTAGTGTTTAGAAAATATAGTGTACATGCTTCGAGCATGGGACAACTATTGTTTTAAATTCAAGAATAAAGTTGACAACTAAAACAATATACAATGAATAATGTGTAATCATATGGTGATAAATAAAAGGTGTTTTATTTATGTTAATAGGTTTTGATACCATATTGGATTCAATTATTATTGTGTTTCACTTTGCATGTTTTAACTTCCAGATTAACTAGGTCATTGTTCTGGATGACTAAGTTATTCAAACCATCCACAGTCGGTCATATGTTGGAAGTAGATATGAATCAAGACTGTCATGGGTTGGCTTGTAGAGGTCTAAGATGTTGGACAAAGAGGTACAACACTCATGATTGCTCATAAGTTCTGAGTATTAGATTCAACCCGCGCTCATTGGAATCACTTCATGGATTTTATCACGAGTGATCATGAGAAGATGATATCTTATATTCTTCAAAGCTAGAGATATGAGTTGTTACTATGAGTTAGTTGTACATTGATTGCACAAAAACGCATTCGGTAACTCGGTGTTATAAAATATGCCTTTGTGTATGATTCAACAAGTAGTAGAACAAGCCATATGAGTCGAAGTTTATCCATTCCTTTTACCTTTGGGATAAAAGTGATATCTGTGGGCCCCTCGATGATTTAATGATGATACATGTGAGTGCTTGGCCAAGCCAAGATTGATTTGATCTGTTCAATCAGTCAGTCATCATGAATCGGAAATCGAGAAACAACAAATGGATAGAGAGAATGATTTTAATCCATGTCTCAATCCATATGATATGTAGAATGGAGGAATATATGATCCCTTATCTAATGGACAAGTCATTGACAAAGGTCAGAGTTCATCGACAAGGTCAGAGTTCAACAGAAGCTTTTGAGAGCTACGATTGCTGATCGGTTCCTGAAGTCATACGCAATAATAGTTTTAGACTTATCCAAGTGGGAGACTATTGGATTAATGTCTAAGTCCATAACTATAATTGGTAAGACTTGACCCGACCCGACATGGTCCATTTGGGTTGCATGGCATCATGCATTTGGATAGACTTTAAATGAGAGAAATAACACTTAAAGTTGGTTAATATATTATAAGTTCTAATATATTAATAAGGTTATTTAATTAGTATTGATCAAGAATTAATTTGGAATTAATTAAGTGATCAAAAGGAGACTAATTAAATATATGGGTTGATTGTGCAAATCATTCATTCTTATATATGCGGGCTTGTGATCCAAGATTCCTTATGTTGGACTAAGTCCATGGGGTGACCCATGGATACTCCATGGAGGTTAAAATTCATGGAGCTTAAGGAATGGGTAAAGTTATGAGTTACATGGAGTAACCCTAATAGCCACCATATAAAAGAATCCCATGGCTTAAGAAATTGTGCACTATGTGTGAGTGTAAGGGCTAGACGATTTCAAGGAGTGTTCAAGTTTCTCTCAAGTTATTCCAAGTGTATTTGGTGTTGTGTGAACCATTTGAGGTGTCACACTTGTGGCACTAGGCACTCAAGCTTCATGAAGACATTCTACATCAAAGAGGTATGTATTCTATCTTGTTATATTCATTATTTTGTATGCTAGATTAGGATAATATCTTGGATGATCATAATTGTATGTATAATAGAGAAAACATAGATCCAAGGTATTTAGGGTTGCATGTACACTTAGGAGTGTTAGAATGCTCATAACCCTATAGATATCACAGTATAAAAGAGAAAGATGATCGTTAGTCGACATCCGGGAGGAACTCCCGGGACGAAGCTTCAACGATCAAGTAAGAATGAGGTCTTAGAGAAATAAGAGTAAATCACAGGAAAAAGTGTTTTGTCCCCTTATTCGCGAGGAAGAATGATACTTATATATATATGTTTAAGAGGTGTGTGCTCTGCTAACTAATTCTGTTGAGCATTCCCTCGTGGTGTGCGACGTGGTGGACCCGTATTATAGGATCCTATGTCACGTCTTTTTGTCTCATCCCTTCATTGGCTAGAGGGGAATCTTTTAATATTATGATGATCGTGACTATTGTCGGATAGGCAAGTGAAACTCATTGGTTGGTCTCATATATTGTCGGGGTGTTATTCCTTGGAGAAGAGGTTAAGGCACGGTTCTTCACCTTAACCGCCATACCCGTGATCTTCGCGTTGGCGAATGCCCGACCTTGGCCTCGAACTAGGTCAAGCCAGTTTCTGACCAGGCCAAGCTTGGCGTTCACTACTGGAAAAACAGCCTTTTACGACGCTCATTGGGCGTCGTAAAAGGCTTAGACGATGCGCAAATGCGCGTCAAGGAAGGCCCTGTCATAAAGAGAGACAACGCGCATTTACGACGCACAATTACGATGTGCGTTTACGACACGTAATGTGTATCAAGGAATACCCTGTCATAAAGGAAGACGACACACATTCGTGTGTCGTAACCTTACGACGCGCGTGTTAATTACACGCAATGCGTATCAAGAAAACCCTGTTAAGAAAGGCCATGTCATAAATGAAGATGACACACATTTTTGCGTATCATAATTTTAAATGTTTAAAAAAAATATTATTTTATTGATTTACTAATTTTCAAATTAAATAATACATTAAAAATCTCATAATACAAAATAAAATACCATAAATAACAAAGATAATTCATTTCACTAATATGTCAAATACAAAAATTATTCCAATAGTGACTAAATGTTATAAAAAAATGAACTGATCATTTATATACAATTGCATTATCTAGCTTACTATGTGCCAACAACTCTCTGTGTGTTTACTTTTTCTTGAGTCTCGTTTCCTCCAAAGCTTCTAGCCATGCCAAAATATGATATCTTAGGGTTCATGTCCAAATCAAGTAAAACATTGCTAGCTTAAATTCATCAAGTCCTTGGCGTGAAGTCTTAGATAGAAGCTTAATTGCAATCTCCAATCCTTCTAGCAGACCATAAAGATCATTATTAGCCATGTAGCAGCATCCTGCAATCTCTTTTCTTCCTTCTTATTACTTGCAGCATCTTCTGCCTTTTTGACCAAGGCTGTGCCTTTAGCAGCAACATGCTGCCTTGCGTCAAAAAGATAAAAACAGATGACAACAAATACAAATAACTGCATTCTACTTTAAAAAAATAGAATCCAACTCCTAAATCACAAACCTGTTTAAACATACTAGAGACAGGATCCAATCCATGGGGTATTTTTGGAAAATAGTTTGAACATTCTTGACAAATCATCAACCTGCAAGTGAAGGGTAGAAAGGGAAGAAACAAATGCTCACAACTAGTAAGAAATCTAAACACTAGAAGTTTCACAGTGATTGTTGATTTCTATAAACTCAAATGTGAGATGAGAGGCTTGTTCAGAACTAGTAAGAAATACTAAGTAGAAAGAAACAAGCCCTTAATCCAGTAAGCTATATATGAGTGTTTCTTCACTTAACAATAGCTCCTTTCTTTCTCTTGATCATTCTAGTCAAGACAACATTTGTAACTTTAGTCGTCCCTTCAACATTAACCTTAATTAAATCAGACATCAACTTATCATCGACTTCATGAAAAAATCTAGCATAAGGATAACAAACCGCAACGTTATTTATCAAAAACCCAACATCTATACCAGCAATTGTTTCCTTAATCCTCCCAAGCCCATGATCTAAATCACAACTAAAATCAACCACAACAACTTTGATTTGGGTTTGTTTGAATTTAGTTCGCATTGAATCTGAAACATCGTTTAGTTTCGCAAGATTCCGACCCACAAGAACCAAATTTAGTCCTTTACTGGCCAGTTGGAAGGCAAATGCTTTACCAATACCATCTGTAGGACCCATAACCAATGCCCATGAGCCGTCTTTCTTGAGGTTCTTAGCGGGTCTGAGGAAATTAACGAACACCCAATTCAAGATTTGAACGGATGATTTTAGTAGAGAAAAGGAACCTCCCAATTCAAGATTAGACCCAATACAACTATAAACATATTAACCTTATCGTAGAGATCAAGGTCACCTGATGCTATCAAATCAATCAGCAGCCTCACCAATGCACAATTGCAGAAAAAAGGAACATCCCATTTGCTAGTATATTCTAACTTATATTCAGCCAGATCAGCTACAAGTGACACTAATCTAACATCAGCAGTGGCGTTGCTCAAAATGCCCTAGAAAACAAGTTTTAAATTAGAAAAGACTTTGATTTGTCAACTTCCACATGCGTTACCTTTAGCATTAGGTCGCCGCCTTCGGAATAGACAATTTCAGGCCATTTAGGTTGTTTCTAATAATCGTTGAAACATCATACAACGCTTTTAGGGCTTCTTCCTCTAACACACTAGATTTCACCATTATCATTAGCTTTGGAAATGCTCCAAGTTCAAGGACCTAAATTTTACACATATATAGTGATTTTAATTCCATGTTGAACTCCTCTGACTCTGAAGCTAATAAACAAATGGATTTTAACTTACCTGTTTCTGAACTACAGGATTGTTTTGACTGGCTTTACCAACAATCCATGCACAGGCCACCCTTATTCCAGCATCTGAGTTACTAAGTTCCCGAATAACTAAAGCAAGACCTCCGAGTTTGTGCATATCTGAATGTAAATAAAAGCTTACAAATTATAAAATGGTTTGCACTTGCAAACTTTTTGTTGTGCAACATCAGGATTTTAACCTACCTGATTCAAAATCATTTATCAAATCAATCATACCATCTATTCACTACTAATCACCTGTACATAGAGGTGTACCTAATTATGGTAATAACACAGTGTAACCCTATGTCATACACAAATGTCATATACGATATACAAATAGGATGCATATTAATCCGTTAATGTACATGTGTCACTGTCATGTAGACAAGTATATGGATGCATCAAAGCACAACATAGGCCACCAAGAACCTAGTACAATGCATAATTGATTCATAATACTTTCGGTTTCTTTAATTATTTCATTCTAATCAATAAGTTAGCACGTCATATATGCCTCAGCTTCTAACCTTGATTTCCATTTGACGTTTCTGTAGCTCATCGGTAGATAACTATTGAGCATCATGAACTTTTAATTCTAACTTTGCAGGATTTAAGTGACCTGCAGAAATGAGCACGAAATGCCAACTTCAGTTAGAAAAATATAACATTTAAAGCAATATAAACTTTTGTTCATTGTATAGGATAAACTAAAAATAACCATTCACAGTATCATATTTTGTTCACTATATATATATATATATATATATATATATATAATGATATTGTAACCATATATAAATACATGAAGTAATGTTGATTGACGAAGGGGAATTACTAACATCTTTCTATTATTGAAAGTGAATGCCCATCTGGGGATGTCTAGAGATGGCGAGTTATTAAAAAACATGAATTTATTGAAAATATTATATTTTAAATTTAACTGAAAAATGAAAATATGCAGGCAATTTTATCAAATCTTCTAATTAGGTAGTTACATACACAGAGTCAAAACTCAGCCTTCCAATTGAATCGGGTACCATACCAGTCAACCTGTTGAAGCTTAGGTCTCTGCAAAAAGATGGTTAAGATAAATGTACAAGTATGATTAAATATTTATTTAAAATTCCATATTTAGCAAAAAAATATGCTTGAATTTAGATTGGTGTGCTTATATGACTCACAGGTTTTTCATGCCACACATATGTACTATGTACTCAGGTATTGAACCTGTAAGCAAGCAATGTCTCAAATACCTGCAGAAAATTAATTAATAAAATAATGTCAAGTTTATGTATGAAGTTAATAACTAAAATTCTCCCTCTTTCTGTAACACAGCCATGAAATCAACTTACAGTCTAACCATCAATGTTAGATTTTGCGGATTGGGGAAAGGTTGTACTTGGTCCAGTCAAATCGGTTATCCTCCTGAAAACTAAAATGCAAAATTAAAGTAAGTTTCATTAGTGGATGAAAAATTAGTTAAATTTTTTGACACAAAGTCTGGCTCACAATTCTTGTAAGTTTGTCAATTGAGATATTGTAGAAGGAATAGGTCTTTCTATCGATGTTCCTTGCCAATCACTACATGATAAATGATTTTATTAAAATGAAAAACCATAAATATTTGGAAAATGGAAAAGATTTATAAAACTAGGAACAAGAAAAGCAAGGTAATATACTCATAGTCTTATGAGCCTTGTCCAATTTCCAAAAGGATTAGGGGGAGAGAGATGTGTGCCAAGACCATGGATTCAAGAAGAAATACAATTTACAATTCAGTAATGTGCATAAAAAAGGTAGAATTCTATAAGAATTAACAAAAACAAATCAATAAATGTTTGTTGGTATTTCTTGCAACAGCCCTAATGTTCTTACACACTCTTCATATTATCAACAATAGTAAAAAAAAGCATATTACATGTTTGGGATTAGAGTTGTAAAAGCTAGAACAGAAGGGAGATGATATAGAACACCATCTATAAACTCTTCACCAATTTTAGACGTTCCATGTCTTGAGGACCTATCAGATTCAACAAATACATTATGTCCATTTTCAGAAAAACTAATATGCACATGTGAACCAAACCCAATTTCATCTAATACATAACAAAATTCACCACAAACAAGCATAACATGTCAAGTCATGAAATTTGCAACAAACATGGTCTTATATTTTTTATCAAAAAATAAATAAATTAAATTAAAAAAAAACTTTGGCATAAAAGTAGCAATTAACCCATGCTTCCTTGCAACAGCTCTGGCAACTTCACATACATAAATCAAATGATCTGCAACATTATGTCCCTACCTTAAGCCCTCTATAGCTTCCCTGGTGTCTCCTTCAGGTCTATAACCCTTCCACCGGGTCTAGTTAAACAAATAAAAAATATATCTAAAAGTGAGATTACCAAAATACCATCACCTGTTTATGGAAATGATAATGTTTGTAACAGAAAATAGTTAAGATACCTTAAGCTAAAGTCAAGATTTCCCATATCCCTCATTTATTTGGGTTAGAAATTGCACATAGGACCTAATCTACATTCATAAATGATTCAACAAAAGGTATAAGCTAATTGCACCCTACAAAATCTATCACTGGGGCTCTATTGGTCATATTTATACACGTAAACTAACATATACAATAGGAAAATGATTAAACAATGAAGAAAAGGACTATGATGGTAGTAAGAATAGTATAGATATACCTGAGCCTCATAGTCTTTAATATACTCCTTAGCCCTGTTAAAGATAACTCTTGGCTTTTTAGGTGCATCTAGATGAGCCAAAAAAACATATGAATCCGGATTATCTAGAAGATCAGTTGGATATTGGACAGTCCAACATGAAGCAGTGTGGATCCACTTTGATATGTGTTATCGATGCTTTTCTGGTTTCTGATAAAGAAAAGAAGATCAAAACAAGTACTGAATAAATCAACTCAAAATAAAATAAGAATTAAAACAAAATAGGAGTTTAATGCACAACATTTCGAATTTCCTAGTTCTACTAATAAACAATGAAGAGGATTAGTGAATAATAAGCATAAATTATTCAAAAAAAAAATCAGCATCAGAAGAAGAATTCCAGAACTTATTTTAAAACACAAATCTAACAATAAAAAATCAAATCCAAAACATCAATATATGTAACAAAACCTAAGGGGACGTACAAATGCGCGTCGTCAAATCCAGAACAACAATGCGTGCCCTCTATCCTCCAAATTTTCCAGAACTGACATTATTTTTTAGGGCACGTACAAATGCGCGTCGTCTATCAGCGCGCGTCATTGTTTGCGCGTCATTAAAGGGCTATTTTTAAGTAGTGGTTAGTTTAACTTCTCCTTTTTTGACGTTCTCTCTGCGGGAAACGTTAACAAGTCCCTTGGCTTGTAGGTGTATGTGTCGGCATGATAACATAGCCGTTTGAGCCTATATTACAACACGTTTATGTCTGAGATTATCTCTAGCATTTGACAAGCTTTAGACAGCTCCGTCAATATGTGTCAAATTCATCGTGAGATAGTTCGTGACACCAATTTTTTCTTTAAGACCCCCTTTTCCCAAGACCTTTCATCATCACCTCCTTTCTTTTCTTTTGTTGTATTGACTCAGGCACTTTGCGAAAGTTTCTTTTCTATCTTTCATTTGTTCTCGACAATAGACCGCTATGGTAGAGTCATTACCGTAGAGGAATTCCAACTTTTGCAAGATTGTTTCGGTTTCTTACTGGAGCACGGTGTGATGATTCCAGCAAAGGGGTTATCGATCTATGACTGTCCTCAAGGGAAAGTGTGGGTTCCGATCGGTCTATTCGAAGCGGGGTTGTGCCTGCCGACATCTGATTTTGTCGACATGATTGTGCATCACTATGGCTTTTCCGTTGACGACTTAACCCCGAGTGTCGTCAATAAGATCGCAGGTTTTGAACTGATTTATCAATCTCTGGGCTGTATACCTACTTTTTGGGTTTTCAGTTACTTTTTCTGTTCAACTACGAACTCTGGCTTTCGCACTCTAGTGAAAAGGTGTGGCATTCGTCAGTTGTTCTCTAAACAAGACGGTCCCAAGAAAAATTGACAGAGGCAATGGCTTTGGGTTAACCGAAATCTTGTGGGTCATGGGTTTCACAAAACCCGAGACTTTCCTGACCGTCTTGCTAAGTTGTTCGGTAGTAACTTAACTCTTGGAAAACGACTAGGAAATATCACTGTCATTGGAGAGAACTAGGAAGATTTCATTCTTGTTGTGGCCAGTATGAGCACCGGCTGGAGGGCTCGTGGGAAGATGGCACAGTTATTCATCGTGAGATGTGGTATTCACTTGCCTCTTCCCCCCCCCCCCTTTTTTTTTTGAAAAAGAAAAAGGATGAGAATATGGTATCTTATTGGCTTGTGAGTTCTTATACTTGGTGTTTGTTTTTACATGTGCTGAAGCCAAGATTTTCTTGGAGATAGCCGTGTGTGGTCACTATCGGGGTAAGCTTTGCCACCGGGAGATCGAACTTGTAGAGGCTCTTCCCCCTCCCGTGTTTGAAAAACGCATGCGAGAGTTTGCTGGATTGATCTCAGTAGAAGGGGGACATACTGGTTCCAGCACACCTACCTTGCCTTCCCAGCTGACTATCGGGGTCGTTTCCCTAGTTCGTTTAATGGCTCCGGATTCTTTCGGTTTTCTTGTGGGGGTACAAGCAGAAAAAGGTACTGCCCCTATTCGGAAAAGACGAAGTTTACGCATGATGCTATCACTGGACAAAGAGACCGAATCTGATGTTGCGGGCCTCCGTCCTCGTAATATGCATCAGACTGTGTCTATGGCTAAGCTTCTTGGTGTTATTGGCGATGTTCTTGGTGATAGGTTTTTTATTCCTGGGCGGAAAGAGAAAGAGGTGGTGACTAGTTCTTCAATGACACAACCTTTTCCTTTTACTAGTTTACTCTCATTTGATCTTAGTTTCGGATCTGTGTTTAGGAGTGCACTGGGCTCACCTAGAGGTTCTTCCCAGCCGGAGAAGCATACCGCGGTTAACAAAATAAGAACTACATCTCACACCTTGTCTTTCGAGGCCTATGCGTCGGGATGGGCAATTACTAGGGATTCCTTACTTTTAGAAGACATCACCGCCTCAGAGTGGAGTAGTTGTGCTCACCCTCCGGCTACAATGAAGTTGCTTGTGGGCGAATCGAGCACTCGTATGGCCAGTAACCTTCTTTATCCTGCAACTCAGGCTTTTGCCCTTATGTTTGCGTTTGCTGACCAAGTTTTCCGCACTAGCATGAATGAAACACAGTTAAAAGCTAAACAGAGCGACTCGAAAGCCAAGCGAGTTCTCTTGCTCGGGAGAAGGGTGTGTTAGCGAGTGAGTTGGCCAGGTGCCAACGTCAACTGGCATGTGCCCGTGTTGATGGTGTTGTTGTCTGAGGCGGTTGGCAATGTTTGCTGGAGAAGGGGTGGTTTGCGTAATTGATAAAGTTATCGAGAACGTGAAATTTGCTAGCGGGATCCAGGGTGTTCGTAAGGCGTGTGAGGCCCTTGGATTTAAGAAGAGGAAGCAACTAGGTGGTTGTTCCGCAATTTCTAGCGAATCTGAAGTCGTGTCACGAGAAGAACCGAAGAGGTGGATATTGCTCTTTCGTCCCTTGCCGAGATGGATTTCGCGGGCCTTTTTGCTTGGGGGAGCTAGATTATGACAACTTCCACCAGTTTTGTTGCAGGTCGGGACCATGAGGCTCTTCCACAAACTCCGAGGACTAATTTGTGTTTTCCCCTCATGTTCACTCTGTTATGTAATTGCATTCCCATGTATTATATGTATATTGAAAAACACTGGTTGTTAATGACCAAGCACTATGTATTTTTCTTTGTATTTGGCATGGAAATTTTCTCTCCCCCCCCCCCCTTTTTTTTTTTTTATATATAAATATATTTTGAATTGCCATGTGGTATCTTTAAGCTAGGGCTATTCCACGCTTCTACTGTAATTCTTTTCTGCACATTCCCTTGTTCTAGGGTTCGTATTAATCGGTTAATGTGCGCTTCAGATGTCGTATAACAACTACTATTGACTTATATTTCACTTATTTGTATGTTGTAATTAGGCTTTTTTATGTTAAGTCAGGGAATTTTGGTTAATTTTCTTGACCATACTTTGAGGTTTAGCTACCAATATGTTTGCCGAGATCGTCGCCTCAAGATTTTTTACTGTTCAATTATCAAGGGAAAGGTTATGAATCTTTTAGAACCCTTTTTTTGTGTGCCATTAATTGGGATTTATACATTCTCAGCTCCGAGATGTTATTGACACATTGTAGGTAAAGATTATGACTTTTTTAAGACATACCGTTGCATCGTTGCATAGATTTTTCTCAAGTAGCGTAGGTGATCAGCCGTTGTTGCTATTTGGAAAATATGCACAACCTCTATACTTTGTGTTTTTGCAACTGGTTAAACAGAATTCTGGAAAGCTCTTTTCAAAATGAAAATTATATTATCTCTTGAAAAAAAAGACATGAAACACTACACTTTGAATGTCTAAGTATCGTGGCGCATGCCCAGTCTTCACGTCGACACATGGAGTATGGTTATCCTGTGCGGAGTTTGACAATACTCCTTTTTCTTAGCCTCCACTTTATTTTTGATTTGGTATTCTGCTATGACTACCTCGTCGTGGCTATTCCTCTTTTCCTCATCTACTGCAAGTGTTTCTTGATAGGTTGGGGTTTCCTCTCGTTTTCACTACTGGGGCCCAGCATGAGAGAGCTGAATTTTGCCTTTCATGCTATGGAGGTGCTTCCACTTTCCTTTCTTTTTGACCAAGTGCATGCTGCAACTGTGGGAAGAACCTCCCCGCGACCCGGTGAGAGTACAACTCGCGCTTTCCTGTACACCTATCAATCTTGTGTTTCACATTGTCGCTTGGGGTGTCATTTAGCTCATCAGAGGCTCTTGTTGGTTCTCTTCTATAGGAAGGCTTGCGTTTTAGAATGAATGGCACTCTGCCTCTAGTTTTGTTGCTCCTGGTGCTTATCTCCTTCATTCCACGGGATTTTAATTCATGTTTTACATTGGCCAAGATCTACTTTGAGTCCCGAATCGCTCTATGGCTGGGCATGGCTCCGCCATCGATTGTGGGCCAGACTGGTTCCCTTGCCTGCGAGTAGGCACTTCTTTGCTTTGCAATTTTTGCTCCATACCCTGGCTGGTCCATCCGTAGGTTAGCACTTGTTTCCTTCTATAGGAGAGATGTTGTGAGCCGACTGAATACATATTTTTTTTCCTTTTCCTAGACTCGTGGGTCAGCACTTGTGCTGTTGCAGTTCTCTGCATCTTCCACCTTCTGGCAACTTTCAGTTCGACATAATTAGGTTTCTTGCTTTCTTTCTCGTTGGGCATCGCGTCCAATATCTGGCATGGTTGCCACTACCATTGTTGATTCGTCACTCGTGCTTAATTTGAGAATACCGTGGAGGGTAAATGGAATTGCTTGTAGCTGGAAAAGTGCTGGCCGGCCTAGTAAAATATTGTGTTCAGTCGGTCGGTCGACAACCGAGAATTCGAGCTCCATTCTTATATGTTTTTCCCCATCATGACCGATCAATGTAAACATGACCTTGACTATTCCTATTGGCCAGATGTCGTGACCGATGAACCATAGAGCATATCCTATGTCCTTTTGAGTGTACTTGATCGTCTAGACCTTCCCATGCATGAGATATATGGACTTTAGTGTTGAGAAGATTAGAGTTTATGAGTTTGGGACTTGTTCAGCCATGCTAAGGCTCAAATTCCACAACTTTATGGAGTAATAGGCCTTAGTTAGCTTGGATATATTGTTGTGGCATTTGTCTTAACGAATTAAGACTAAATGAAGCGATGAATGATATCTGGGACGTACGTCGTGTGTACTTCCAGCTATGCATATCGTAGTGTTGAGTTTTCCCGATGCATGCATTGAGGGTAGTACGCCCAGCGTTGAGGGTTGTATGCCCAACGTACTCGTTGGGTGTTGACCTTTGTTGACTTTTGGAGTTTTTGGCCATTTGGTGGACTTTTTGCCAATGAGGGGGCAAAATGGTCTTTTTGCCCTCTTGAGATTTCGTAGAGAGACTTGGTCTACCATATTGCGATTTCTACTAATATTTATTAATTAGTGTTAAATGTACTATATTAGGCGGAGTCTAGAACGGCAGTTCGCGTGCAAAATTGATTACTTTTCCAGTGAGAGGTGAGTCTTCTCACTATACTTATCCATATGATAGCTTTTGTGTGACCGAAGGGTCTTACTCATCTCATGGACCGGAGGGTCTTAATCATATGATTGACTAGAGGGTCTTATATGTTCATGTATTATTTTGCATATGTCTTTGTGACTTATGTTATTATATTATTTTGTGCATTTGTCGACCTGTGACTGGAGGGTCCACGTTGAGATGTGAGACCGGAGGGTCTTCACTGAGACACATGACCGGAGGGTCTTTATCGGGATTAGATATGAGAGGCTAATTATTTGTGTGTGTGTGTGTGTATATATATATATATATATATGTATATATATATATATATATATATATATATATATATATATATATATATGGTATTTTGAGTAACTCACTAAGCTTTGTGCTTATAATGTTGATTAAATGTGTTTCAGGTACATCACAGGACCGCGGGAAAGCACCGACATGATTGTACACACCAGCTTGATGTTGAGGGTTTATGTGGATTTTGGGATACTTGTCTTTGTTTTATGATATTCTGTGTTGACAATTATATTTTGGCATGGGTGATGCTATGAACTATTTTTTTTGTGAGATTTTAAAAATGTAAAAAATGGTTTGAAATTTTAGCCGTTACACGTGTACTAGAATATGCAATGTTGGAGTAACAAACACAACCAATCGGGGACAATGTTATGGGTGAGAGTTGCGCCTCACTTAGTGCATTAGGTCATGTCAGTCATGTTATTAGTGAACATGATACTTACCTTGTGAGTTACTGATGGATATATAGACACGCATACAGGAATTACAAAGGTGATTAGAGGAGAGTAATTCTTAATGATGAAAATGAAGATTAATATTATCTTATAGTATTATTGTGATGAATGAAGTACTAATTAGTTACAAAGATGAATTATAAAGTGTAACTAAATGTAAAAGCTCTAAGGAAGAATAATATTATTTGAGCATTATTATGTTGGTTAGGTGATGTATTTGATGTCATGTTATGTGAGGGTTTGAATGCATGCTTATATGATGCTTTTTCTAGTTCCCTAACATCATATTTATAATTGGCTCACTTAACGTATGTTGATACTTGTTTCTTTGCTTGTTTGTCTTCCATTGGTACAAGTAGCATAGTTTGATGGGTTGGTGAGGATGAGGACTTGTAGGTAGTTCATATAGCATATTTTTAGTGATGATACCACTTTGGACTTGTCGATGAGATTTCATTTATTTTTGGATTTGAAAACGTGTTTGGTGAACTTAAACTTTTTAAAGAGGTTGTTTTTAATATTTAAGTAACATTGGTGATGTTTTCAAATAAACTTTTATCAAGACTTTCATTGCATTATTATGTTAAAAAGTGTTTAAAATAAAAGAAAATTTTGGGTGAAAATCATGATGTTATAAGTTTATATCAAAGACATATAATGAGCGAACTGAATACAAAGGTCGGTGTTCAAAATCACAGTTTAGATTGACTCATATAGGTTGCTTTAGATTCTTAAGAGGGGACAGTGTGTGTAGTTTAGGATAGTTGCTTAAATTGTATCAAAACTTCCCTTCCTTTATGTGGTGTTAGAATACAAAAATTTTCTTATGTTCAAGAAAATGTCTGAAATAGTTGCAAACAATGAATCAGACGAAGCACACTACAACTAAAACGATCAAGGGGCTAATGATAACCTATATAAAATATAATGAATAATATAAAAGGACAATAAAAAAGTTTAGCAACTAAAAAGATCTAAACCCTTAAATAAATAGTCCAATAAATTCTAATTTATTAAACTGACAAGCCAATAAATAAGGTATTATCATTTATCAACCAATGCTATATTTATTGAATAAAACAATTTTTTAAGTACGAATAAAGTTTTTTATTAAAAAAATGTTAGTGAAAAACTAGACAAATATAAAATTGAAATTACAAGTTACATACCAAAATATGGGAACATCATCAATCATGTCATAGGGTACCATCATCAATCATTCCAATTCAAACTATAAATCTTAATAAATCTTAGCCATATTTTTAATCCAGTTAAACACCAAAAATTGGATATCATTCGCCTATCATCATCAAAAAAAAATCTTCATATTTTTAAACATAAATGAATTTCTCACATTTCAA